ATAGACAGATATATATATGTTCTAAATCTAGACGAAGTACGCTTTGAGGGAATAGATGGGGTCATGCTACTCATTGGGACTACATGTTAATTAACTAGCTCGGGCAGAAATGTGGGGAGGTCGAAGTCAAAGACTTATTTTTTTACAATTATTTAGGTCTGGTCGACAGGGGACAAAATCAACTAAAGAGAAATGAAATTGAAATCCACATAAGTGTATGCGACGACATCGTTAACTAGTAGAAGAAACGACTCACACATACAAATATGAGATTACTGTAAAATGACTAATTTTCACTGAGTTTAAATTTCGCTGATTGACCATTTCAGGCATATTCAGTGGGTTTTAAATTCACTGTTTTATCATTTAGACAATGTGTTCTGTGCTAAATTTTACATATTCACTGGGTTTTAATTTAGCGCATTTTTCAGTCAGCGAAATATATTAAGCAAAATTAAAACCCAGTGAATAATTAACCCTTTTACAGTATTACGAGAATACCTCAAAGTATGCACGAAGACCGACACCCTGGGGGGGGGGGGTACTTGCAAAAAATACTGACAGGGGTGTGTAGCTGATTGTTTGAAACCCCTACTCTTTATCAGAAAGAAATAAACTCAAATAGCCTACCCATTTTCAGACAAACTCTGGATATTTGACACCCCTATCCAGACAGTAAGCATAAATGGTACCAAGGGAAAAGCAGGTTGACTCCCGGAGATGGACTTTGATGATCGAAATGAAATTACAGATCAGCTTCATTATCCTGGTTGTTGGATTACTCAAGCTCTAGAGACAGTCTTTTGAAAATATGGACTCATTTTTAGACAGAATTAATGAAAAAAGGATACCCCATTTCAGACAGACAGTGTAAAATAACATACCCCTTTTCAGACAGAAGTGGCGAATTTAGGAGCCCTTTTGGCGGCACATATACATATAGGACTTCAATGTGAGTACTCCTCCGGGACCGACACGCAGCGGAGGTCAATGCGTGGCGTACTGTTTGAGTGCATACTTTGAGGTATTCTTGTAATAATCATATTATTGTACATCTTTATGCATGTTTATGCAAAACGTTTTGAACACCTTTAGCGAACTTTTTTGTGTGACGTTGGTCAAACCCTGGTGGCAGCCATGTTTGTTGTTATTATTAGAGGACGTTTACGCGCGTAATAATTCCATATTTGGAATTCGCATTTCCTTACACGATAGGATGAACATATCTCGTAAAATTCCGCGTTACAATAACAAATGTGCTAGATTTAAATGAATAAATTTAGTAAGGATTTGAAATGAACAAATAATATAACACATCGTTTGCTTTTAAAATATAAGACCTAGAAAACAACATCGCTGCTTTCAAACAAGTGATTTACTCATTTATATATTTTTGAATTGCTTTGTTATCTTGTTCTTGCATGTCTGCCTTCTTTTCAAAATTGCGTATTCTATATAATCAATTAAATAAAATAAATGAATGAATGAATGAATAACGCTTTCAAGTTATTTTGATGAGAGATGCTGAATTTCGAGTTACGCCCATATTTTAGAAATAACGCCATTTTTTTTCCAAAATAAACACGCCAAAGTTGAAACTCGATGTTCACTTAACAGTTTACAGAACTTCAACTTACGGGCAACATAGATGTTTTTTTAAGTTCAAATTTAGTAATACGAATTTTAATTAACAATTAAACGACCTTTGAGTACCAAAACAAATAAATATAGATTTTGGTTTGTTTAACTGTTAACAGAAGTTTGGGTTGATAAATGTAGGCGTTCAATAATAAACAAATTCTTTAAAATGTATTTTACTCTAACTCGAAGCTCCGGTTATTGAACATTGAGTACAATTTGGTCGTGCTTTTTTGTAACCTGATGTTTACGTAACTTGATAATTCGTATCCCGAACAATTCAGCATCTACTTTGATGACTATTTCAGAATCTTTATGGATGGCATATTGAGAGTTAAATAATTTGACAAAGCCAAGTTGTAGTCTATTTGATGCTACATGGACATTTGAACAACTCACATTTCACTGAATAATTGAAATACAATTTAAAATGAACTCAAATTAAAATTTGACCGACACTCACTGGTTCTCATATTCTTGGATTTTACTTTCCATCTTTTTAATATCCTGTTCTTTTTGGTATATATTCTGTTTAATTTCACTCGTCCTAAAATACAAAACAAGTGTCACTCATATGTACGTGTTGACAGGACACTAATAGTACAATCATTGCAGTTTCAAAATTTGAGTATTATTATTAAAATTCAATGGAATTACTCCATCGGAGAAAATACTCAAAGCAAACTATGATTGAAATAATTGTGACAAAATATGAACTTCAAAGATACGTACTGAATTTCATTCCTAGTTTTTAGTTTATCCATTTCTTGTATATGTGTCATTCCCATTCTTGTCTCCTTAGGTTGTTTTGCTAGTCTTCAAAATAACAATTGAAAGACGTATGTGTAATATATGTCAGCATTCGGAGATGAACAGTTAAAAATAATTAATTTGCGCAACAGTCATGTAAAGTGAATTCTTTTATTGCATTTTAAAATCACATATTCACCATATCATATCTAAAAACCCTGAAATAAATTGTGTGAAGCATGGTCCTCTGCGGTTGTGGATTGTCTAGTTAAAGTTGTAAAGATATCTGCTGACCATTCCTCCCGACGTTAACATTAACAAATCACCTTTCTTAGTTGACTCAATGCATTATATTTCAACCAAATTAAAAATTCGATTTTCAAAAACGAAATTAATACAATGAATCATAATGAACGGTCATGCAAAATTAAACAAAATTTTTAAAATATCGAAATTCACAGACAGTTAGTTCGATATGTGCTTGCTTTCAAATGTAACTTGTTTTGCCGCTTTTTCGAGTCCCCTGTAATTCTTTATTAATTATATTGTATATAATAAAATATTACGATGCTAAGGAAAAAAGCCCACACTGCACATGTGTTGTATACTAATACAATATTATAATGGCAGAGGGGCGCGACGCTTTGCAACGACTGTGGCTATTCAATTGTGTTTGGTTTCAAGTATCAAATCATATCACATAGTACAAAAGTATATACACAATTAAATGAAAATGTGAGTTTCCACAAAATTGATTATTATTATTATTATTATTTAATGAAATTACTCAATCGGAGAAAAGACAAACAGAATCCTGGATCTTATGTAACAAGTATATGTACTATATGCCAGCACTCGAAGGAGAACAGTTAACATTGTTATTGTTATAACATTCATTTTTCTTAAAAATAAAATTAATATAATGAATCATAATAAACGATACGCAGAAGTGAATAAAATCTAGAAACACCACGGATAATTAGTTTGTTTATAAGTGTGCTTGCTTTGAAATCTAAAATGTTTTGACGTTTTTTTCAAAAAATCCCACACCGCACTATATACTAATACAATATTAAGACAGCAAAGGGGAAAACCATATCACATAGAAAAACATATATACACACAAACAAATGGTAAGCTGAGTTTTCACACTCCAATATAGAGACACTAAGTTTCAAATTTTGGCAGATTATTAAAATTGTATTCAAAGCAGTGTCATATATACGTCGATGAACATATATCTTAGCAAAACGAAGAGAAGAGTTTAGGAAACAGATAAGAAAAAGATATGCTTAATTTTGTTACATATTATCTGTTACTTAGTCTATGTTTTGATTTTTTCGTATGTTACATTAGGTAAATCCTTGCAACTGCATGACAAGTGTGTCGTACTAATCACGTATACAATATAATACATTTAAATGTAATTATTTTTCATTGTTGTTAAGTTATCGTTGTACGAAATTTTACGGTAAGTGGCGTGTAATATTTAATATTTTTATTTCAAGTAAAAATTACTTTATTTCACATGTTTGCATACTGATATGCATATGTTAACACAGTTTAAATATTTTATATAAGCATGTACTCACCGAGTTTCGAGTTCTTTTATTTTTCTCTCTTTCTTTCCAATTATGTCGTTTAGCTTACCTAGCTCACGTCGGTGAATATCACAAATAGAATCACGAAACTCGTTCGATAGTTTGTAGATATGTTTCTCGGACTCACTTGTTTCCCTATAGTTGGATGCAACACAGTTATTTGGTAGTCATTGGTAGCTGAGAGTTTTCTATGGCACGCGATTCACTGTTATAATTCCGATGTACTTTTATGTCAACTTATGTGTGACAGCTATTGCAACAATATCGTCATATATAGCCTCTCTTTGAAATAGATGCATATTGATTGACACTGAGCTAATCAATCATCAATCATTTTATGATAAAAGGCTTCTATATTGCAAACAGACTGTATGTGTGGCGATAGCGGTCACACGTAACGAAAGCTCTGACGGTGTACTGCATTGGTTAGAAAATGAAGAAATGTTAATGTAAAAAAACAATTAAAAAACTATAGTAAATCAAATAAATAAATTAGATGAAAATGGAAGGACATCATGGGCCACTGAAATTAAAAAAATACTTCATATGTACGGCTTTGGTATGGTTTGGATATCCCAGGGCTTGGGGGATGTAAACTTGTTTTTGGTACAGTTCAAGCAGCGGGTAATTGATATTCATAGACAGGATTGGTACAGTGAAATATGTTGCACTGCCAAACCAAGGTCATATTGTAGTTTTAAAACCATGCTTGAACCAGAAAGATATCTTTTTGTAGTCACAGAGGCTAAACACAGACATGCTCTAGTACGTATTCGCTGTTCTAGTCATAGATTGCACATTGAAGAGGGGCGCTATACAGGGTAGGAAATTGATGAAATAATATGCGAGTTTTGTTTATCTAATGTAAAGGACGAATACCATTTTGTTCTTATTTGCCCATTATTTCACTCTATGAGGAAACAGTAAATTCCTGAGTATTTTGGGCATCTTCCCAATTCAGAAAAACATTACAGTCTAATGCGCTCAAAATCAGCAAAGGTACTACGTAATCTTGGTAAATTTCTACATAAAGCATTCAACCTTAGAAGGGAGTTTTCGTTACTTTCGGTATAAGAATTTAATAAACATTATAAATAAATAAATAAATAAATTAAAGTCCAATCCAATTATTTTACATCAAAGTTATTATGTGTCGACCATAATCAACAAAATGCTTATTCCATATAACAAACAAAACATGGTATTTATTGATATCGCAAGTTATCCCTCAACCATGTCTCTTTGATATCAATATGATGCATACTTACATGTTATTGACGTTTGAATTATCCTTCTAAGGAGATAAGAAAAGAAAAAAGGTTATTATAGATACTAAAAATGAGCTCAACATGATATGCTTACCGCCCTCTAGTGGTAACTAATGACGTGTCATGGACTTCATTGTAAACTGACACACTCACAATCCATTGTCCATGTATCCCTCAAACACCGAAAGGATAAAACGATGCATATCAAAAAAACGAACGTCCGATTCACATATATAAGACAATTATCCATACAAATATTTGTGTTTTTTTAAAGACGCACCACAAAGCATCCCGAAGATAGGAAGGGATAACAAATGTAATAAAACAAAAACAACAAAACATTGTACAGGAAGCCATGCATATTCTTAGTTTCAACACTGTAGATTACAGCCAAGACAGATGTGACACTTACCTTGTGGTGAAACAGCTTGGTATACGTTACGACTGAATCGTGTACATTCAAATATGTGACAGTGCTGAAATGCTTATGTGTTATATTTTGGTTCACCATTTCCTGGAAACTGGGGAATTTCCCATGACGTGTCCATTACAGAATAATTCGCCGAATTGATGAGTGTACTTTAGCTAGAGAATAAAAGCATACGATTGGTGCGCAGAAATATACCCACTCACAAAGCACAACTGGTCACTGTGGTTGAGCGAGCAGTTAGTTTTCTTCTGAAAAGAATTAAGCCAGGTAAGACAATTACTTTCGAGATGATTTTAGCAACAAGTTTTGTAATATCATTTATGAAAACAGATAATAGGCAGCACTGACAATTTTGCTTTACATCAGATGTGTCAAAAATGATGATCAACAAAAGAATCAGAAAAACTTACACTCCGAATACCGCAAATTACTGCGAGCACAATATAGCAGACGAGGTGCTGAAGAATACTATAACTTTTCGGTATTAATACGTCCGCCATATTGAAAAAACACGTCATCGACATTTCTTATTTTGCATTTGATTGAAAACTGTGACTTAGAGTCATACTAACATATGTATTTTATTATTAAAACAATATTACGTAATTACACCAACAGAAATAACCGTGATTATCGGCCACTACGAATTAATTGCAAATTTAATGATTTTAATGATGAAATGATTGTTTTCAGTTACGTCATTTTATCTCGACAAAATGGCGTCGATGTCAGCGTTGACACTCAAGGAACAGAGATATCTCGTCGTGGTCTCAATCGATTTTGGTACGACATACAGTGGATTCGCCTTCGCCTTCAACCACGAATACAAAGGCGCCGTGAGAGATATTCAACTTTGCAAACCATGGACCAGTGAAGTAGGTGCGAGTACGTTCAAGGCTCCGACCTGTGTGTTGCTAAACTCGGACAAAAAATTTGTGGCATTTGGTTATGAAGCTAAAGAAACCTACTCCGAACTCTCAGTTGAAGACAAAACGCACTACTATTTTGACAAGTTCAAAATGGCATTGTATAAAGAAGGACTTGACAAGGTAATCACAGAATGTATCATTGATTTATTAAAATGGCATTTGTTTTCAATACTTTACCCATGCATATGATTCCGGGGAGGGGGGTCACACTGGCCTTTCAGTTTCGTAGGGGTGTTTGGTATTATAACCCCAGTTCCCATCATACACCATTTTCACCTCAAAAACCATACCCCCTTATAGACCAAACAGTTATTTTGTATATCCCATTAAAAACTAAATTGTTCAATAAAATTCAATCAATAAAAGTACTAAAACTCAGGTAAATAAATTCAAAAAAAGAGGCTTCATTCCCTGGCCCATCCAAGAGAGGCAAACCTGGTATTGGACCTAAAGGCAAGCAAATCTATACCCAATTCTAGACCAAGCAGCTATAAATTACGACCCCAAAAGGCGGCACGTGCACTTCTCAATAATGTGATTTGCATTAAGTGCCCCCGGGATATGATTCCCATCTTTGCTTTATGCCAGAGTATGCTTGAATGGTAACTAAGGGAGCGTGGGTTCGATAGTCGGGGCTGTCTGCTCGCTCAGCGATGTACAGAACTTTTATACACCACAGATCACGCATCTTAGGCTAGCTTAAAATACCTATTTCATCTAATACTTGTGTTCTCAGTCCAAATAAACAGTTTATATGAACTGTGTATATGTACAATTTCACTAACGGGAGAGGCGTTTAGTGTTTGACAGAGGGGAACATGTGGAAAGGACGCACTACAGTAAATCCTGTTATACATGGTGATCAGTGAGTCGTCTTTGTCTATTTAAGGTTTTCAAGTAATAATAAATTATATTAGGCTCTCTAGATCAAATAAATATTGCATTCCCATGGCTTGTTTGAATAAAGTAAAGTGGTCGGTGACCGAATGTAAATAACGCCTCTCTGATAACCCCTTGAAATCATGGCTAGGTTCAACGCTTTTGAGTCCTTTTGGTAGGAGTAGCTCGCTACTAATTTGCACTATGCCCCTGCCCCAACATTTACCATGACAGTTAGATTTCAATGAGTTTGATTTATCAAAATCAAAAGACAGCTACGATCTAAACAAACACAGATTAACATCTCCTTTATCTCATTTGCATTATACAAAATCTGCATGGCGAAATGTTGGAATGCTTATTTTATTTTTGTTGTGTACCCTATTGTGAACCTGTGTCACAATCTGACGCGATGCCTATATCTTCTTTATTGATATTCAGGTTATCGACACTGAAGTAGAACTGACTGCAGCAAACGGGCATAGTATGAAAGCTGTGAAAGTGTTTTCACACGCAATTCATTACTTGAAAATGGAGGCTTTGAAAGTGATTACAGAAACGACCGGCGTGGAGTTCAAAGGTGAAGAAGTCCAATGGGTACTCACCGTTCCTGCTATCTGGGGTCAAGCATCCAAACAATTCATGAGAGAAGCTGCTTATCAGGTAACACAATGTTGAATGGAAAATATTTTTGCCAATAATGATTTTTTACAGTGTCGTCTCACTCGTAGTATTTCGTATTTAGCAATAAGATGATATTTTAACCACCTTTTAAAAAAATGAGGCCGCAGAAGTTTATGTGGTCACCTATATATTAGACTATCTGACAATATCGAAACAGAGGGGCAAGTTGTGTCAAGGTTGTTTTAAAACGGGGGAGTCGTCACCCGCGCATGCATCAGATGGCCATAGCGTGTCATTGTTTACAAACAAGCGTCTACCCATGAGCCTTTGTGTTTTTAGCGTGTGTCGTTATCGTCGCTTGGGACTCAATGCCCGCGCGTGCGCAGATGACGACCCTTCCGCTTTAAATTTAAACTTAACAGATATATGTTTGCTAATTTGCATAATATACCTATTTAACCAGAGTTATGTGGTGGCATGTTTTATTCATTATTAATTGAAAAAAAACAAACAAACAAATTGTTTCTTGAGTGATGTTTTAGTATTACAAGTGGCAATAATGTAGATGACGCATGCGTATTGAATTACTTATACGTAACACACCTTCACTAGCGTGTGTTAATTAATTAATCACAAGAGCGTGTTTTTATCATACAATATTGTAATTCAACTAACTAATATTGTATTATCCATATGGAATAATTTCAGGCTAACGTAGCATCTAGAGATCACGATAAGCAGTTGATCATTGCTTTGGAACCTGAAGCGGCGTCCTTGCACTGTATAGAGAGTCCCATGGCTGGATTTGTAAATGGTAAAGAACATGGTGTTAAATGCTCAGATGTTGTCGCCAGGCCAGGAACCTCGTACATGATAGTGGATTGTGGTGGTGAGTAATATAATTCGTTGTGTACACGTGTCCGCATTGTAGATAGTCTAATTGACTATGCTAATACGTTATCATGCTTTAATTTGGTTACAAGTGTTTGTCACTAGAATAAAAGTCGACTGAAGTTGTGGTCAAATCCTAAATAATAATGAATATGGAATGAATGACAAATAATGATAAAGGAAGCACAAGTTTGTATCTTCACCTACGTTATAACCTAATTCATCCCCTATGGTCAATACAACATTTTGCACTTCGTGTATTTCAGTTACTAGTTATTCTAATAGAAATTCTAGGTAGAAATTGATAGATTGATAGTATGTTAGTAACATGCAATAACTATCTATTTTATATCACTTTTAACAGGAGGAACAGTGGACATAACCATGCATCGCATAACGAGTGACAAAAAACTGATGGAGATTCATAAAGCAACAGGAGGCCCATTCGGAGGAGCGCAGGTTGACGAAGAATTTGAAAAGTTATTAAAAAAGATTTTCGGGGAAAAATTCATTCTCGATTACAAGAACGAATATCCGCCAGACTGGTTGCGAATTATTATGGAATTTGAAATGAAAAAGACTCTTGATAGAATAAGCAAAGGTAACGACTCAAGAATCCGCCTGCCTTATACATTCACCGAATTTCATACAAAACAACTCAAAACATCAATGGCGAAATCAATCGAGAAATGTTATCCCGAGGGTAAGGTAAAAATAAATAAAGAATATCTAGTCCTAAATTCAGAAATCATGAAAACATTGTTTAAGCCAGCAATTGGTGGAATTGTTAAATTGATGGGTGAATTACTATCAAAAAAAGAGTTGGAGGAAGTGAAATGTATTTTCCTAGTTGGCGGATTCTCGGAGTCGCTTCTTTTGCAAGCAGAAATTAATAAACAATTTTCGAAATATAAAATACTGGTTCCACGGGATGCTAATTTGGCAGTAGTTAAGGGAGCTATTTTATTTGGCCAAAATCCGCATAGAATTCAAATGAGAATTTCAAAATTAACATATGGTTGTGAAATTTGCTCTGTATTTGATCCCAGCAAACACGACCCTGATCGCACTTTCAAAACCGAAGATGGCGATCTGTATGCCGAGGGTCTCTTTCACAGATTGGTCAAAGTAAACGAAAAGATCTGGCTTGGTAAAACCATTAAGTATACATTCCAGCCAATTCATGGCGACCAGTCGGAATTTGAATTTCTATTCTATGTAACGGAGAAAGATGATGCTCTGTATATTGATGATGACCATGTGAGAAAAGAGGAAACTAAAATTGTTGTTAAGTCACCTCATGTAAGCATGGGTAAAAACCGTGACATAGATCTAAAAATAGAGTTTGCTGACACAGAGATAAGGGCTACTGCTATTGATACAGTGTCTGGCGAAGTGACTATGACGCATTTGGAGCTGGAAGCCCGCTAATGTGTATAACTCCAGTCTAAAAGACAGACATATTTACTCTTGGTGATTTCTAAAATACTTCCTGAGAAGTGTTATTGTTTGTTTTATTGAGAAAAAATATTTTTGGGTTTAGAATATATAATAAGATCAGTAATTGACCACGTTGAATAATATTTCGACTCACAGTTAGTTATAATTTTAAGTTTATTTTTTATGAGTGGGGCTCCCGTGAAACTGTATGCAACGCTTATGTTACGATTTTTTTCAAATAACTACATTGTATATTGTTAAATTGTTAATCATTAATTAAATTAAATACATTTCTAAACATGTAATTTCAAATATGTTTTTGTTTGTTTATTTCGTTTTATTTTATTATATATGAGAAATGTTATTTCTTGATGTATGTGTACTAGACAAATCGCGAGGTCATTGATCATATGCTGAATGGCACCAGACCCCCCCCCCCCCGTGGCGTTACAATACTGTCAAAATGCCATGATTCAATAAATTAATAGTTTTTAGGACAACAGACGTGCATTTTCAAGACAAAACATAGACAATATTATTTGTGAACTCTCAATAAGAATATATTTCAGATATTGACACACATTAAAAGGTACCACGTTATTATCTCACTAATCATCAACATTCATTATTTTAATCAAAACGTCATGTTATATAAGAACATAAAACAGGAATATTGACAAACTAAGTAGACACAATATAATAATTTGTACACCCTGAGACGAGTTATCGAGGAGAAACTTTAAATTGAAAGTGGTCCCGTGTCCAGGGAATATTTGGGAAATAAACAATCCATTGAGGCATCGCGTCACGAAAAGCTTCTTTATGCGAGTGCCTCGCGGGAACAAAATTGGGGGGGGGGTGAGAATATGTATGTTTATAGCGATTGTCTCACTCACCGAAACCACACACAACCTATGACATACTTGAGTCTGTATAACGTGACCTCTTTTCACAAACCTCAAAATGACACATACATTCGCAGAAATGATGAGTATCGGGTAAGTCGAACCTTCACAGAAACAGTGACACTGTAAATATACATCAATCTACAGTTACACGTGGCGGACTTTCCGATTGATTTGTATCTGGATGTTGATTGAGCAGTGACGAGATATTTGGATAAAACAAAAATTGCTAGGTGCATTTAATAATTATCTCAGCTGAATTATTTTATTCCGATCTTAATCTCTTGTGAATACTTTGCTTTGTGAATACTAATTCTAAACAAACTCTCATGAGGCAAATGCGAATAACCACCAGTTTTCCCAATTCAATCAAGAGTTTAAATCACGGAGCCCAATTTATTTGCGATAATAATTCTCGCGGTGTTTCCCATAATTGCCATTCGTCCGTAGTGCTTAACTAGGATGTGTATGATACTCACACGTAATTGAGCGTTGTGTGCGTGGGCGTAATCTCGTTTGGCAGATAACATCTACACTGTAGGTACCCAAAATGAACTCTTTACCCGACCCACGGCCTTTTTATATTCAGTACATAGAAAAAATATACATAATTGCCACCACTACTGATTTAATACCACATATATGTTAATACAATTGATTACCCCAAGGCGGTCATAATATTTTATTCTCGCGAACACGATATGGGTACGTTACGATGTCTAGGCACCCTTATATTTTCATGTTGCCAAGCGGCAGTACGCTTTTATGATACAGTAGTCAAAATGATGCACCCGTGTGCTTCCGCGTATTGGACAGAATCATTTAAAGAAATACAGTCACGCACATTAGTGGTGTAGCAGAGGCGGCGGCACAGAATTTTACATCATGGAGGGGCGAGATTTGGTCACCAGCCTTATTAGGGGGTCCGGGGCATGTTCCCCTTAAAATTTGAAATCTAGACCCTCTGAAACGCTATTTCCTGCATTTTGAAGGGCAAATTTTGCTGACAAAAAAGTTTTGAGCTTTATTTTAGAGGATCGACGCCCCCAAAATGCTGTTGTCCCTCTCCGTGCCGCCGACACTGTGTAGTCGGAATGGGGATACGTGAGAATATTACTCATTATTAAAATTTGAGCGGCATATTCACAATTTAATTTTTGAACAAAAATGTGTTCATGTATTACTTGTTTGTGACTATAAAAATCAATCACCTGATATAAATCGACGAAGGTTACCGATATAGCAGACGACTTGTTTGGCAGATACAGAGGCTTTCTTATATTGCATTTTCGTTATTCTCACCTCCCCAATGACTCGGTCGTTGAAATAGTCGAGGTCACAGACAGTTCATCATACTTAAGCTGCCGCTAGTCTACAGAAACAATGATTACGTTGACCTGACAGTGATACGAAATTCGTAGAATACTTGAATCGATGGCGTGAACAGTGTTTGGAGAACGTGGGCTAAAATTACCACTATTGTTCTGGTTTTGTCTTCTTTGTTCAGTTGGTTTCGCTTAGTAACAGATTTAGCAATGACGCGGCAGTTGGATAAACCGATGATTCATCGAGATACGCGTAATCACGACCTAAAGTGAATTCAATTACACGGGTCTATAGAGCCGATTGAATGCGACCCTCACAATGTATTATTATATGCATTATGTGTTACGTTATTATAGATGAACGTTATTATGATAGCTAGTTTCACACTTTTACCTCGAAGGTCGTCAAATAGTCTAAATGAAAACGGCTAAACATGGAACACAAAAAAAACATTGACCTCTGACGTACCACGAACATGGTGATACGTGATTTCGTAGAAAGTATGGCTATATACATTCATTGGAATTAATCAACTCGAGTGTGCGACGCATGTATACTGATAGGTTTTGTTCGTGTTAGACAGGGATCGGAAGGATTTTGTTTTCATAGAAATTATTTGTAGTCGGAATATTGCAAGAAACAACAAACCGATGCCCGTAATTTTTAGAAATTCGACAAATATGTATTACTCTCCTGTGTAATGTTTAAACGTGAAAGGAACACTTTTATTCAATAATAAAATCATCTATTCTATTCTATTCTAATTCTAATTCTAATTCTATTCTATTCTATTCTATTGTATTCTATTCTATTCTATTCTATTCTATTCTATTCTATTCTATATCGCACATATATTCATTTAATAATTTAATTCAAGGTGGCTGAATAGCGGCTATTTTAATAGAATCTGACATTCCTGAACCGGATTTTGGACATGTATAGTTGTTTCGTTCAAACTTGGCACAAACAATGAACAACATAGAACCCTGATAATGCACGTCTGTTTGTTTTTCAAAATAAACAATTCAAAGTTACGAATATGTATTCCACTTTAATAGCATTATGTAGTACAACATGTACAAATTTCACATTTTAACATAATACTTAACATTCAAAAGTTTGTTTTGCATATAATATGTGTGTGATTAAATGCAATAAAACTGTTGTAAAGATGGCTTTAATGTAATTTTTCTGATTTGTATTCAGGTTTCATACTTCAGTGTAGTGTAGTGTAGTGTAGTGTAGTGTAGTGTAGTGTAGTGTAGTATAGTGTAGTGTAGTGTAGTGTAGTGTAGTGTAGTGTAGTGTAGTGTCAATCATTTATCTGTAAATATCTTTATATAAATTCTGTATAAATATCTGTGGTTTGGCATGTTATTTCTACACAAATTGCAGAGATTCTTTAACTTAAAATTACTAAGTATGTTAAGAGTATCGCCAGGGCACACCTAGAGTATAATTTATGATAATTCAGTTGTAGAGAATTCATTTCAAAAAGTAAACAAAATGTAATTATGAGCAATGCCATAGTAGTATCATATGTATATTGGTTTGAAACTTTTATTTGATTTCGCTTTGTAAGACATTGTGTAGTATTTAGATTCGCTTATTGTCATTACGTCATACAAGTATTTGTTGTTATCCAATCAGAAATTCACACATCGCTGCAATAAGTACAGTACTGTCGATTTACAGACTTCGGAGCTCAATAGTTCGATCATGATTCCAAATAATTCTTGTATCCAATTTATGCTAGTACGCAGTTTGAAGACACCGACACTATGTTTTCTTTATTTTCCCAATTTCTCCGTTCTAAAAAAGATAAAACCTACTAGCACTTAATAATCAAAGATCACATCCCAAAATTGTATTAGATTATTTGCGATTTTTGTAAAATTGACCAGATTGTTTAATGCTTGATCTAGCAACTGTTGAATATATGATGTCATACATTATTAAATTATACATAAGGGTACTACAATGTGAAGTAAAATAGCATAATGACATCCGAAATTACAAAAACACGACAGTACCCAATTAACACAATAGGTATAATTAATAATGCGTTCCAAAATGTTACGATAATTAACTATCATAATCAATTTCTACACAATGATCATTACAATAAGGTCACACACCTTTGTCAAAATACCCTTACACACAACTCTACCGTTGTCCTGTTCTCTGAGTACTGGCCATATGTATACGAGGACTGTATCGGGTTTAATGGATTCACTCTTGATGCCAGATAGCTGATGTTGGTTTGGGTTATATACAGGTTTATCGTTAAATTCCAAAGTAAGTGGCGGTGTTTGAACAACCAAACCCCAGGCAAGTCGGGCGCACGAGTCTATGAACTCACTGAGTGCCTCTTCCACGACTTCCCAATCGGCTAAGTTTCCGCCTTTAAAACGTTTTTCCATGTCACGTATAATACCCTGAAAAATATACTTATGTATTAGTACACATGAGTAGAATGGCATGTTTAACGATTTATAAGCGATGTACTATTTTAATAGTAAAGTAACGTACACAAATAACAATACAGACAAGACACGAAACACATCTAGCTTGTGAGAACATGGCAGCATGATACATCACATCACTCATAAAAATAACGCCCAGACAGTGTACACACATCTAGTCGAAGTCTTTGACAGAATTGTGCTTTAATATCGTACCTTTATAATCGGTGATATATCGCAGTTATGGGATGTACGTTTCAATACGGTATTTAACATCACATCATAGCTTACTGTGTCGTCATTACCTTGTATATCTGTCATGATTGCAGCACATTTAACTGGTTGGGAAAGTATAGCTTTTGCATTCTTTTTGAATTCGGTACACATACTGTTTGATATGATGTAAGCAAGCTAAAAACATGGAAATATATATAAGTTGTTAACGTAATACAGATGATTTACCAATACGAATATTGCGAGAAATAACATTTCGTAGCCAATATTATGTGTGGCGATAAAACAATATTCTAGTAGAAATATTTACTTCAAATAACCATTCTTTATGAGATAAACATTTCAGTTGTATACTACTTAACTAATTATGTTTTAACTACTGTTGTTGCATTTCACGAAGAAATAAAATATTGAGTAGTTGCATTCAGAGCATATTTATAGGCTACCAAAGATCAAATAATGGCGTTTTTCGCTGCTCATACATTTACAACTCCAAAATTATTAAAAATACGTATACACATACGCAGGCGAGGAATATGAATGCACAGCTACAGTCGGATAACGATTTGTGTTTCAATGGGAACGCGGCATTAAATATTGAAAACTCACTTGCATTACTTTGCAAGCTATACGTTCACACGTTAATTCATTTATTGTTGTCATTTTCTGCAAACGTTCCACTGCATCCATACGTTCACCATCTATGAATCTGATGTAATTATCAGTCAAAGTCGAAGGCCGAACTGTGAATTCAGTATTCTCAATCCTTTGGTGGCCTACAGCAAGATTCTTCTTTGCAGCTTCAGTCAGTCTTGAAATAGAGTTCCAAAATTATACACCATCAGCCAAGTAGAGTATAATATATATATATTATCTGTGTCGGGTGTATAAGACATTATCAATACACCATAGTGGATTTCTATTTTTCCCCAAATTATACCCAAAATTTAAATTACAATTTTGGAAGAATATCTTATTTGCATAATAGTTTATTTTTTTTCTTTTCCATCGATACATGTACATATATTTGAAAACAAAAATATTGTATTTCAATTAGTGCATGGGGAAAATGCTAACAACCTTGTGAGTTTCTATTAAAACTTTATAAAAGTAATTAATTGAATTGAGCTTGTGGCACATAACATAAATCAGACGGCATAGTACAAGTTATGATACAAATAATGAATGCAAGTGGACTAAATATTCAATCCAAATTACTGTAACTATAACTTTCCCCTAATCCAAACATACCTTAGTTGGGTGTCCCGAATCATTGAGTCTTTCTTAGCCATTTCATCTTTGTATCTCACAATGTCTGATTTATATTCATCAACACTATATGAAAAACAGAATAAATTCTAATTAATTGAAGTATAATAAATATATCCTATTTAAATTTCTGTCGTTTACACCATGCATAGAACAAAATCAGTGATTTATCATATCTATACATTTATACGAACCTTTTCTTGTGCTCTTCAATATTCAAGTTGAGTTTTGTTATTTCGTCATTTGCAATTTGTATAGTCTTTTCATTCTCTGATATTCTAGCAGATATTTAAACAAATTTGAGGAAACCATCAATATTTCATATATTTAAAGAACATTTGGATTTATTTGGTTCTTTGAGGAATACTGTAGGCTATTTGTTGTCCCACTTACAGATATATAGGCATAACTATTATATCATTTTGCGTTTGTTTAGAGTCTACTATCACCCAATTTTCATATTTCTTATTTGTATTTCATATGCCCGGGATCTGTTAAAAATGAGAGCAAATCAATTATGCATATCTTTCCCAGTTCAAATACACGATGACGAATCAATTGATAGTGTTCAATTGTTTTGATAAACTTGTACAAGATTTTATATGTTACCGTATAGAGTTATGTGTAACCAAATAGTAAGGAAATACGATAATATTACTGGGCGGTATAAATTAACGTTACTCGAAGCTATTTATCACGTACTCTTGTTTATTGAATATTGTTTCAAAATTAGACACCATCATCCAAGTGGAGTACAATATATTATTTGAGTCGGGTGTATAAGCCATTATCAATACACCATAGTGAATTTGTATTTTTCCCAAAATGATACCCCAATTGAAATTACAATTTCGGAAGAATATCTTATTTGCAAAATATTTAAATTGCTGTTTCCCATCGATATCTCAAGAACTAATCACCACATTCCAATGGAAATCAGCACATATATGTACATATATTTGAAAAAAAATTGTATTTCAATAAGTGCATAGGAACAATGCTAAGGGCCTGATGATTTTTTAATTAAAACTTGGTAAATATATGTTCTGGAGTAATTCAAAGACGTGATTAATTTTGTGTTGACACCATGCATATTCATTATCTAATTCGTATTTTGAAATCTAAAATCAGATTTTAATTGAACTTGTGCCACGTAACATAAATAAGGCTGCAGACTACAAGTTACAAGATACAAATAATGAATGCAAGTTAACTAAGTATTCAATCCAAATTACTGTAACTATACATTTCTGAAAATCCAAACATACCTTAGTTGGGTGTCCCGAATCATTGTGTCTTTCTTAGCCATTTCATCTTTGTATCTCACAATGTCTGATTTATATTCATCAACACTATATGAAAAACAGAATAAATTCTAATTAATTGAAGTATAATAAATATATCCTATTTAAATTTCTGTCGTTTACACCATGCATAGAACAAAATCATTGATTTAATATATCTATAAATTTGTACGAACCTTTTCTTGTGCTGTTCAATATTCAAGTTGAGTTTTGTTATTTCGTCATTTGCATTTTGTATAGTCTCTTCATTCTCTGATATTCTAGCAGATATTTAAACACATTTGAGGAAACCATCAATATTTTATATATTTAAATAACATTTGAATTTATTTGGTTCTCTAATGAATACTGTAGGCTCTTTGTTGTCCCACTTACAGGCGTAACTATTATATCATTTTACGTTTTTTTTAGACTCTACGATCACTCGGTTTTCATATTTCTGATTTGTGTTTCATATGCCCGGAATCTTTTCAGAAGTAAAAGCAAATCAATTGTGTATATCTTTTTAGTTCAAATACATGATGACGAATCAATTGATAGTGTTAAATTGTTTTGATAAACTTGTGTAACATTTTATATGTTACCGTAAAGAGTTATGTGTAACCAAATAGTAAGGAAATACGATAATATTACTGGGCGGTAAAACTTAACGTTACTCGAAGCTAATTATCACGTACTCTTGTTTATTGAAATATTATTTCAATATTAGACACCATCATCCAAGTGGAGTATAATATATTATTTGAGTCAGGTGTATAAGCCATTATCAATACACCATAGTGGATTTGTATTTTTTCCCAAAATGATACCCCAATTGAAATTACAATTTCGGAAGAATATCTTATTTGCAAAATATTTAAATTGCTGTTTCCCATCGATATCTCAAGAACTAATCACCACATTCCAATGGAAATCAGCACATATATGTACATATATTTGAAAAAAAATATTGTATTTCTATAAGTGCGTAGGGACAATGCTAATGGCCTGATGAGTTTTTAATTAAAACTTGGTAAATATATGTTCTGGGGTAATTCAAAGACGTGATTAGTTTTGTGTTGACGCCATGCATATTCATTATCTAATTCATATTTTGAAATCTAAAATCAGATTTTAATTGAACTTGTGCCACATAACATAAATCAGGCTGCAGACTACAAGTTACAAGATACAAATAATGAATGCAAGTAAACTAAATATTCAATCCAAATTACTGTAACTATACATTTCTGAAAATCCAAACATACCTGAGTTGAGTGTTCTGAATCATTGTGTCTTTCTTAGCCATTTCATCTTTGTATCTCACAATGTCTGATTTATATTCATCAACACTATATGAAAAACAGAATAAATTCTAATTAATTGAAGTATAATAAATATATCCTATTTAAATTTCTGTCGTTTACACCATGCATAGAACAAAATCAGTGATTTATTATATCTATACATTTATACGAACCTTTTCTTGTGCTCTTCAATATTCAAGTTGAGTTTTTTTATTTCGTCATTTGCAATTTGTATAGTCTTTTCATTCTCTGATATTCTAGCAAATAATAAAAAAAATGAGGGAACCATCAATATGTTATATATTTAAATAACATTTGAATTTATTTGGTTCTTTAAGGAATACTGTAGGCTATTTGTTGTCCCACTTACAGATATTTGGGCATAACTATTATATAATTTTACATTTTTTTAGAGTCTACGATTACTCGGTTTTCATATTTCAGATTTGTGTTTCATATGCCCGAGATTTTTCCAAAAATTGAGAGCAAATCAATTGTGTATATCTTTCCCAGTTTAAATCCACGGTGACGAATCAATTGATAGTGTTCAATCGTTTTGATGAACTTGTACAACATTTCTTATATTACTGTATACAATTATGTGGAACCAAATACGATAGTATTACTGGGCGGTATAAATTAACGTTACTCGAGGCTTCTGAATACGTACTCTGGTTTATTGAAATATAGCCAAGTAGAGTATAATGTACATATATTATTTGTGTCGGGTGTATAATCCATTATCAATACACCACATTGGATGTGTATTTTTTCCCAAAATGACACCCGCAATTGACATTACAATTTCGGAAAAATATCTAATTTGCATAATAACAAAATTTTTGTTTTTTCCATCGATATCTCAAGAGCTAATCAACCCATTCCAATATAAATTAGCACATATATGTACATATATTTGAAAATATTGTACTTTAATAAGTGCGTGGGGATAATGTTAATTAAAACTCTATTATAGTAATTACATTTGTTATTACGTATGATGCATAATTATCACATTTCAATGAAACTTGGTAAATATATGCTCTGGGGTAATTCACAGACGTGATTTGTTTTTTGTTGAAACCATGCATATTCATTATCTAATTCTTATTGTGGCACATAAAATACGATATTACTGTAACTATAACTTTCTGCCAATCCAAACATACCCGAATTGCGTGTCCCGAATCACTGTGTCTTTCTTAGCCATTTCATCTTTGTATCTCACAATGTCTGTTTGATACTCGTCAACACTATATGAAAAAAACAGAACAAATACACAAATAAAAAACAATTTAATGAATAGAATAAATGTTGTAATACCCAAAAAATAATGATATGATATAATACAATGATTTAATGATTTTATTAAATTTATTATTTGATTTCTCGCATCGACTTCATCTTGGTGATCCTTAACCATTATTTTATCTTCCTGCAAACTGATCGAAATAGACAACAGATATTATGTGTATTTCGAGTAATAGCAACACATGTAATATGGTAAAACCATCTGATCGGTCAGTTCATTATAATATAAAACTACTGTCTTCTCTATTGTCTACAATATCCTATTTTTGACGCGTATACTGATTGACATTCAACTTATTAAGGGACAACATCAAAAGTTCAATGTAGGATAACAAACTTAATTCCTTTAGTTTTTTTTCCCAAACCCTCCCCACCCCACTGAAACTTAATTGATAAATATTGATCATGGCGTCAGACTACATTCAATACAAATTGATAATCGGACAGTAGTATGGCAAACCAGTTGGTTCTAGGTTCATGTCCTGTAATTGACCTCATTTGACGCACATATTTACACTCGGACCAATCCATTTTCACATCTTGGATGTTTTTTTTTTCATTTTCTTATATTTTTGACCATGATTGGATAGAAAAAAAAACGAACTACAAATACTCCAAGTTTTTTTTTACTTCATTTAAAAATAAAATCGTTTTTGTAGGATGGAAACTTTTTGAGGTCACCCCACCACAACCCCAAACTAAAACAAATAAGTTTTTTATCCGACATCGATTTTTTACGGCGTCCCTAATAATTCAACAAATCGAATAGCCACATTCACCTTATGAACGAAATGTAAATATATAGCTGTCCAATTCAGTGTCGCTAACACCTGTAACGCGTAACACTTACCGTACTGAATTGTCATAGCCAATATGTTGAATAAATATCGTTCAAGCATACTTATAACAGACTACATGACCTCATGACCTAATTTGTTTCTTTTACAATACCACTGTAAACCTGTTTTTCATAATGAAATATATTTACATCGAAAAGGGGAAAACATAGTGTATCAATATATCAGTCAACTTAAAACAGATCTACCATTTCTTGTAATATTCCACGGTTTTATTATTTTCCTGTAAATCATTTTTCATTTGTGAGCACCTAGAAGCAGACAGATATTGCTTTATTCATATATGCAATTGACGTAATAATTCAAGATTGGCAAGTTGTGATTTCAAAGGTATCACATCTTCTGTTCATTACAGGCATACCACATCTATAGATATGTGTTTATAAATTATATATTATATTTTATATATTAAAAATTATATATTGAAAATACCTGATCTCCAATCTTTTAATATCCTCAGTTTGCGAATGAATCTTTTCTCTATTTTTGGTTTCATTCATCTTGTATACATTTAATCTGATATAATAGATAAAACGTTGTTAAACACAATCAATTTCACAACGTTTAAAATACGGGCTTTCTAGATTTATGTACACACGTTTAAACTACATGAGGCAGATATTTGCCTCTATATATGTACTGTACTGATTACTTACTGGTATTTATGATCATTGATTTCACGTTGAATCTGTTCTATAATGACATTTTTCTTCTGTAACAGCGCCGTATTTCTGGGTATTAAAACAAATGAACATATCATTAAATTTTCAATAGGATTGAATACAACTTATATATGACCTTGGAGTTCAACATTTAAAACAGAATTACCATCACTGAAATAGTAATAGTATATTAATAGCATATTCTGAAATGTCTATAAACTATGAGATCAGAAGGACAAATACGAAAAAGTTGACGTTTTGGGAACAAGAAAATAACTCACTCATCCTTTAACTTTTGAATTGATTTGTAATCTTCCGATTGTCTTTCTGCGTTCTTCTCCAATTTTATTATTCTAAACAAATCATACAAGTGTCAACAACATTTTGGATGAATAATATTGATACTGCATGTTACTCGCGTGATGATCAGAAACAATACGGGCCCGACAACATAGATAAACTATTTAAACATGTCTTATTAATCTGATTCGTATGAAATATACTAGAAGTTTTCAATGTTCACAAATTAGCAATAGATTTGGTATTTACTGTCTTTCATATCCTTGAACTTGTTCTTGCAAGTTGTTAATAACCTCGTCTTTGTGCTGTATTTCCTGTTTATACTTCTTTAATCTGAAATACAAGTAAGCCTAATCATTATAGAATGTTCCCAACGAGGAATCCAAAGTACATTACTTGATATACAATTGCTCACTGTAATCATTCATTAATAACTTGACAGAACAGAATAGAAATACATACTCAGCTTCATAGTTTTTATTAATTCTTTCCGATTCTAGTTTTGGCGTTGTGGATTTCTTTGCTTGAGTAAGTCTGTGAGAGATCAGTTGAGAGAACAAAACATTTCGTACCAGCTTACAAATCAAGTGTTATGTCTGTACTTATGTACCTGTATAAGTACATTTGAGATTTCGAACACGACGCAATCCAACACGGCTGTAACGCCATTAAAACAATAAGAATAGGTCCACAGCATATGCTGATTTAAATAAATCACGGATTAAGATAATGGGACAGAGAACTGGAATGTGAAATAATGGAAACGTGCAAGCTTTTTAAAAAAAGTAATAAGAAAAACTATATTAAGTTGAAAATAGGGACACACTCACTTCGATTCAAGTTCTTTTATTGTTTTGTTCTTCTTGATAATCACTTTGTTCAACTTCTCTGTCTCACGTCGGTGAATGTTCAAAATAGAATCCCGTGAATCGTCCAATATTTTGCAAATATTTGTTTCGGACTTACTACTTTTCAAAGCCCTGTATTCAGTAAAAAGAAATGAATATTTTGTTTTGTTTAGTTTTGTGTTGTTGCAATAACTACTTACTATATACAATCAGGTTAGTGTGCTGCTGTTCAATAATACAGTGAACATTTGTGTATAATACAAACGATGGAATAGTAATAAAATGCAGGCATATAAAAGTTATAAGTATAAATAGAATTATATAAAGCTAGCGTCTACTTACATTTTAATGAAGTTATTTCCTGAAAATGAAACAAAAATAAGTAAACGAATAGCAGTGTATGACACATTACACATGTCGTGTTCAACATATTATGCGTGTTGCCCTCTAGTGTCAATATATATGTTTGGTTGTGAAAAGCATTTTGTTAACCACGGACGTTCACGCGTCTTTGAACATATACTTGAATTAAGAAACGAAATTTATAAAGTCTTAGTGCAAGAGTGAGACACTATTAAATTACTATTAAACTTCTGTTTAAAATCGTCCGAAAAATGGTTTGGTGACAATGAATTTGTCTTCTATCCATGAATTCAAATAATGAACCTTTCAAAATAACAGATGTTTAAAATTTTGCTTCAGCTACGCTACAATCAAGAAAAAAATTACACTTACTTGATGAAGTCTTGTAGATATATACTGCCACGGATAGTACTGACATGAAAATGTATTTCCTTCTTTTGGTTCACTGCTTCCTGGAAACTGCCAAATTTCCAATGACGTGTGATTCAACGAATTGCTGAATGTTGTGTAATAACTCAGACAATGCAAACACGAGACTAGTTTTCATACCAAAACGCCCACGCGTGAAGCTCGAATGGATCACCGTGTTTGAACGAGCATACTAATTCTTTCCTTAGCGAAATTATTACGAATAGAACAAGGTAAGGCAATCACATTCACGGTATCTTTTGCAAAAGAAAACACTGTAATTATGTTCATGAGAACAAGCATTAAATAGCGATGACTAAACTGTTATGCCTCATATATGGCTGAAACAAATTAAATTGCTTACAATAATTGAGTAAATAATTGGTCAACAATGCAAACTGACTCTTCTCGGTGTTTCTAGTCTTGTACGAAGCTGGCCACCTTTGAAATGTCAAGGCAGATTGCACAACGAATTCTCTAGTATCCCGAAGGTATTATTGCATTACATTGTGTGTGGTGAAATACGAAAGAAATACACTGTAGCGAGCGGTATTTTTTGGTATTTACCTTGTTTAATTGTTTAATGCACCCGCCATCTTAGAAATAGATCCTTATGGCGATATTCGGAATTTTCATTTTCTAATAAGATATAAATTAGCTGATTCGATTGACACCGCTCTGACACGCAGCGCACACTAAAATATGTATTGTGCTATAAAATAATAATTAAGTAATTACGTAAAATATTAAACTTCTGATTATATAATTTTTACTTTTGGAGCAACTTAAATCTACAACGAACCAATTCAATTTAATGATTATAATTATTTCCGTTTCCAGTTACGTCATTTTATCTGGACAAAATGGCGTCGATGTCAGCGTTAACACTCAAGGAGCAGAGATATCTCGCCGTTGTCTCAATCAATTTTGGTACGACATACAGTGGCTTTGCCTTCGCCTTCAACCACGAACATAAAGGCGCAGTGAGAAATATTCACTTCTGCAGACCATGGACCAGTGAAGTAGGTGTGAGTACTACCAAGGCTCCGACCTGTGTTTTACTAAATTCGGACAACGAATTTATGGCATTTGGTTATGAAGCTTAAATGACCTACTCCGCTCTCTCAGTTGAAGAAAAAAAGCACTACTATTTTGACAAGTTCAAAATGGCATTGTATAAAGAAGGACTTGACAAGGTAATCACAAAATGCATTGATGTATTGAAATGACATTTTTTTAAAACACTTTACTACTATGCATATAATTCCTACCTGCATTATGGCAGAATGTGCTTGAATGATAACTTACGGGCATGGGTTTGATAGTCGGGGATGTCTACTCGTTCAACAATTCACGGATTATATATAGACCACAGATCGCGCGCCCTAGGCTAGTTAAAATATATTTATTTTATCTAATATTTTTCTTCTCAGTCCAAGTAAGCAAGATGGACTCGGAAATTATACTTTATATTTCTGTACTGTTATATGACATACTTTTTGGTATGAAGTTGATGATGGTTTATGGCCCAATTAATTTTCGCCTCTTTACCTAAATATAGTTCCACTAATATACCAGTTGATATGGACATGTTTGGCGTTTAGGGTTATACATTGTGATCAGTGAGTTGCATTCGTCTATTTAATAGCCCCTTTCACAATTGGTGCCAAACAGACTACAATGGCTTGCGACTCGAAATTTTTCCCGTTGTACGACTCGTTGTAGCCGTTGTCGCATCTCGGTCGGGAAAAAAAAACGTGCTGCTCCGATATTTTGAGCGACTGACGCGATGAAAAATAATTGCACGACAGGCAATACGAGTGTTGTGCGACTTTGCACACACTCGTAAGACCCCCGAACGAGTGTTGCACGAGTATTTTCATGTCGTACGATGATGCGTCCTGTCGTAAGAGTCCGCTGTACCACCCTAAGACTATTGGAAGACCTGTCTTGCCCCCTTTGCAACGTTGTACGATTTTTTTTTCACTCCCAATATAAGCTCGAGAACTCCTGAGCTTTCACCCCAAATACGTACGATTTTATATATTGCTTGCGACTCAAAGACAACACTTCTACAACAGGACGGAAACAATATTTTCGAAAAAAACAATTGTCGCACGAGTGAGGCGCCAATTGTGAAAGGGGCTTAACGCATTTAAGTATTAATAAATTATATTAGGCTTTCTAGGTCAAATAAATTACGTTTGTATAAATTAGAGTGGCCGGTGATCAAATGTAAGGAACGCCACTCTTAAAACCCCGTTAAATCATGGCTAGTCTTAACGCTGTTTAGTTCTAGGTACGATTAGCTCTATACTAATTTGCACCAAGCCCCTGCCCCTTTTCTTTCCTTTCGGTCAACAACTTTTAACAAGACAGTTTGATTTGTCAAGTTCAAATACAGCTATGATCTAAACAAACACAGATTAACAACTCCTTTATCTCATTTGCATTATACAAAATCTGCATGCGGAAAGGTTGGAATGCTGATTTTATTTTTGTTGTGTACCCTATTGTGAACCTGTGTCACAATCTGACGCAATATCTATATCTTCTTTATTAATATTCAGGTTATCGACACTGAAGTAGAACTGACTGCAGCAAATGGGCATAGTATGAAAGCTGTTGAAGTGTTTTCACACGCAATACATTACTTGAAAATGAAAGCTTTGAAAGTGATTACAGAAACGACCGGCTTGGATTTCAAAGATGAAGAAGTCCAATGGGTACTCACCGTTCCTGCTATCTGGGGTCAGGCATCCAAACAATTCATGAGAGAAGCTGCATATCAGGTAACACAAAGTTGAATGGAAACTATTTTTGCCACTTTTGTACGGAATTGTTTCAGTCGTTCTATTTAACAACTATCACATTACTTATAGCGGGAGAGTCGTCACCTGCGCATGCGTCAGGTGGCAATAAAATGTCATTGTTTACGAACAAAAGTCAACCCATGAGCCTTTGCGTTCGTAGCGTGTGTTGTTATCATCGTTTAGGACACAATTCCCACGCGTGCGTAGGTGACGACCCCCCACCCCCCGCCGCTTTAAAAAAAACACACATTCAATCAAAATTGGCTATTGCAATATTTTTACTAAATTACATTATTAGACTACCTGAAAACATAGAAACAATGGGGCAAGTTGTGTTGAGGCTGTTTTATATTAAAACTGAACAAAGATATGTTTGCATAATATACATAACCCACCTAGTCTCTCTAATCAGAGTTATGTGTCGGTATGAAAAATCAACCAAGAAATATTCTCAATCCGTTTCAGTCGAATGTTTCATATAACGTAATATTATTATTAATGATTGATTTGAACAAAAGTCTCCAATAAGGCGCATATGTTCTTTGATTGACGCATATGTACTGAATTCCATATATGTATCTCATACGCACTCGCGTATGATAATACATCGCAATAACGAGTTATAGTTTAACACACCCTCTGGAACGATTACTAGTATTGTATTATCCATATGAAATTATTTCAGGCCAACGTAGCATCTAGAGATTGCGATGAGCAATTGATCATTGCTCTGGAATCTGAAGCGGCGTCCTTGCACTGTATAGAGAGTCCCATGGCTGGGTTTGTAAATGGTAAAGAACATGGTGTTAAATGCTCAGATGTTGTCGCCAGGCCAGGGACCTCGTGCTGATAGTGGATTGTGGTGGTGAGTAATATAATTCGTTGTGTACACGTGTCCGCATTGTAGATAGTCTAATTGACTATGCTAATACGTTATCATGATATAATTTGCTTACAAGTGTTTGTCACTAGAATAAAAGTCGACTGAAGTTGTGGTCAAATCCTAAATAATAATGAATATGGGATGAATGACAAATAATGATAAAGGAAGCACAAGTTTGTATCTTTACCTACGTTATAACCTAATTCATCATGGTGAATACAACATTTTGCACTTCGTGTATTTCAGTTACTAGTTATTCTAATAGAAATACTAGGTAGAAATTGATAGATTGATAGTATTTTGGTAACATGCAATAAATGTAATAACTATCTAATTTATATCACTTTCAACAGAAGAAACAGTGGACAAAAAGCTAGTGGAGATTCATAAAGCCATAGTAGGCCCATTCGGAGGAGCACATGTCGACAAAGAATTTGGAAAGCTATTAAAACAGATTTTCGGGGACAAATTCATTCTTGATTACAAGAAAGAATATCCGCCAGACTGGTTGCGAATTATTATGGAATTTGAAATGAAAAAGACTCTTGATAGAATAAGCAAAGGTAACGACTCAAGATTCCGCCTGCCTTATACATTCACTGAATTTCATACAAAACAACTCAAAACATTAATGGCGAAATCAATCGAGAAATGTTATCCTGAGGGTAAGGTGAAAATAAATAAAGAATATCTTGTCCTAAATTCAGAAATAATGAAAACATTGTTTAAGCCCGCAATTGATGGAATTCTTAAATTGATGGGTGAATTACTATCAAAAAAAAAAAAGAATTGGAGGAAGTGAAATGTATTTTCCTAGTTGGCGGATTCTCAGAGTCGCTTCTTTTGCAAGCAGAAATTAATAAACTATTTTCGAAATATCAAATACTGGTTCCACGGGATGCTAATTTGGCAGTAGTTAAGGGAGCTTTCTTACTCCGTCAAAATACGTATTGAATTCAAATAATATGTTTAAAATTAACATATGGCTGTGAAATTTGCTCTGTATATAATTGATCCCAGTACACACGACCCGGATCGTACTTTCAAAACCGAAGATGGCGATGGCGATCCATATGCTGAGGGTCTAATTCACTAATTGTTCAAAGTGAACAAAAAGATCTGGTTTGGTAAAACCATTAAGTATACATTCCAGCCAATTCATGGCGACCATTCCGAGTCGAATTTTGAATTTCTATTCTATGTAACGGAGACAAATGATGCTCTTTATATTGATGATGACCATGTGAGAAAAGGGGAAACTAAAATTGTTGTTGAGTCACCTCATGTAAGCATGGGTAAAAACCGTGACATAGATCTAAAAATAGAGTTTGCTGACACAGAGATAAGGGCTACTGCTATTGATACAGTGTCTGGCGAAGTGACTATGACACATTTGGAGCTGGAAGCCCGCTAATGTGTATAACTCCAGTCTAAACGACATATTTACTCTTGGTGATTTCTAAAATACTTTTTGAGAAGTGTTATTGTTTTATTTGGATATAATTATTTTGAGTATAGAATTTATAGTATGATCAATAACTGGAGACGTTGAATACCATTCTGACTTACAGTTAATTATAATTTTAAGACCACGTGTTATGAGTGGTGATCATGTAAATAATACAGGGAATTAAATACATTTCTAAACATGTAATTTGAAATATGTTTTCGTTTGTTTATTTTGTTTATGTATGTGAACTCTTGGTGTATATCGTGGTCGTATTATGAGGAATCGTACCTGACCCCCTGTGGCGTCATGATATTGTCGAAGATGTCATGATTCAATGTAATAATATGTCTTTATGACACCTGATGTACATTTTGAAGTCAAAATGGAACTATAATATTTGTGAACTTTCAATAAGAATTTCAGATATTGGCACAAATAAAAAGGTTCCACATTGTTATCTCATTAACCATCAACATTCATTATTTTGAATCAAACCGTCATGTTATATAGGTGTATAAAACAAGAATGTCAGAGGTGTATGAATGCATTAACCATCGCTGCATTATGACAAAGCATTTACAGTTTATGTTGTATCAGATTCATATAGCGACGGGGGGAGTCGTATTGACATACTAAGTACACACAATATAAGTCTCATTTGTAAACCTTGAAACGAGATATCAAGGAGAAACTCAAAAATAAATTAAAAGTGGTCCCATGTCTAGGGAATATTTGGAGAAGAAACAATCACATCACGAATAGCTTTCCTATGTGAGTGCCCCGCGGGGGCAAGATTGGCAGGGTGAGAATTTATCTATTTATAGCGATTGTCTCACTCACCGAAACCACACACAACATGCGACTGATTTGATTCTGTATAAATCAAAGCGGGAGGGTCGTTACCTGTGCACGCGCGGGAATTGAGTCCCAAACGACGATAACAACACACACTAAAAACGCAAAGGCTCATGGCTAGACGCTAGTTTGTAAACAATGACACGCTATGGCCATCTGATGCATGCGCGGGTGACAACACCCCCGCTTTAAACAAACGTGACCTCTTTTCACAAACCACACATACTTTCGCTGTAATCATTGAGTATAGGGTGAGTAGAACCTTTACACAAGCAGTGGCACTGTAAATTTACACACATCTACAGTTGCATGTGGGCCACTTTCCGATTGTTTTGTATCTAGATGTTGATTGAGCAGTGACGAGGTATTTTGATAAACAAACAATTTTGATAGGTTCATTTAATAATTATCTCAGCTTAATTATTTTACTCCGATCTTAATCTCTTGTGAATATTCGGATGGCATGCGCGGACTTAGGGGGAGACGCGCCAGGCGCAATGATAAAACAATCGACAAAACCCAGGCCACGTCATGGGCAGATTCTATAGCAGTAGCACCCCTTTACCAAATTTCTGGATCCATCAGTGATCTTAGTTCAAACATATACAATGACATTTTCAGTCAGGAAATGATATTATCACTGTAAATGAACATTACCACTAGCGACGTGCGTTGCATATTACACCTAGTACATTTCGAAGCCGTCGATAGAACCTTTAATGCATTCACTTACAATGTCATTCCACACACACACAATATGACACATTATCTCTCAGAAAACACAGACCCAAAAACCGGAAGTGTTGTACTACATGTAAGATTTTACTGAAAATTCATACTTAATAAGTGATAATTGAAAACAATAAGTAATGTGTACGATGATATTCCATCTGTCGGGATATGGCAGAAAACATCTCAAATAATAATTATGTAATCACAATGTTTTAAACGCAGTTAAAACGCCATAAAAAGCTGTTCTCGATCACTGACCAATATTTAAACAAAGTTGCATGCGGCAAATGCGAATAACCACCAGTTTCCCAAATTAAATCAAATTTATTTGCGACACTAAATATCGCGACGGTCCGGTTAATTGCCCTTTGTCCGTAGTGCTTAACTGAGGTGTATAGGATATACTCGCACGAAATAGAGCGTTGTGTGCGGGGGCGTCAACTCGCTTGACATATAATCTTTGCACTGTAGGCACCCAACATGAACTTTAGCCGACCCGCGTTTTTATATTCAGCCACAGAGGAAGTACACGTTATTGCCACTACCACTGATTTAATACCGCATATATAATACCCGTAATATACAACATTATTATACACCTGTCACTGTAACGCCAAAAGTTACATCGTGCCGTAATTTTGCGATATTGCACATACCATATTAGAAAATGCGAATTCCAAATAAAGGAGGATTACGAGCATAAGCGTCCTCTAATAATAAAAATAATAATACAAACAAACATGACTGCCCCAGTGTTTGACCGAACCTAACGCAAAATATGTTCTAAATATTTAGGATTTCGGCATTCCCATGATGTATTCCTGGGAGAAAAAGAGTATCGCGGCACGTCGGTCTTTAATCCCACTGCAATGTTTTCGTGCATACTTTGCAGTATCCTCGAAATAACCACAAATTATGCAATTGTACTCCTCAGAACTGACTTTTCTATTAAGGCGGGAGGGTCGTCACCTGCGCACGCGCGAGAATTGAGTCCCAAGCGACCATAACCACAAACGCTAAAAAACGCAAAGGCTCATGGGTAGGCGTTTGTTTGTAAACAGTGACACGCTATGGCCATCTGACGCATGCGTGCAAACACGATATGGGTAGTTTACGCTTTCATAATAATAATAAAGTAGTCATAATTATGCATCTGTGTGCTTCCGTGTATTGGACAGAATTATTTAACTTAGAAACAGTCACGCACATTAGTGATGCAGTGGGGACGGGGATCAATTTACATGAGAATATGTAAAAAAAAAAAAAAAAACGTTTTGCTCATTATTAAAATTCGGCATATTCACAATTTAATTTTTGAACAAAAAATATGTGAATGTTCATGTATTACATGTTTTGAGGTTATACAAATATTAAACAAAACAAATAACCCGACAGGTGTGACCGATGTAGCAGTGCGCTTCTAATCCACCTCAATAATACAGTATTTGACAGATACAGCGGCTTTCTTCAAGTTATATTGCATTCTCTCTATTCTCACCTCCCAATGACTCTGTCGTTGAAATAGTCGAGGTCACAGACAGTTCATCATACTTAAGCTGCCGCTAGTCTACAAAAACAATACTTACGTTGACCTAACAGTGATACGAAATTCGTTGAATACAATGAAAAATTGTTCTGGTTTTGTCTTTGTTCTGTTGGTTTCGCTGAGTAACAAATTTAGCAGTGACACGGCAGTTGGATAAACCGGTGACTCATAGAGATACGCGTAATCACGACCTAAGGTGAATTCAATTACGCGGGTCTATAAGGCCGAATGATAGTAACTTTCACAATGTGTTATTGTGTGCATTATGTGTTACGTTATTATAGATGAACGTTATTATGATAGCTAGTTTCACACTTTTACCTCGAGGGTCGTCGAATAGTGTAAATGAAAACGGCTAGACATGGAACACAAAGAAACCATTGATCTCTGACGTACCACGAACATAGTGATACGTGATTTCGTAGGAAGTATGGCTATATACATTCATTGGAATTAATCAACTCGAGTGTGCAATGCATTTGTATTCAGTTGAGTTATAAACACACAAGGATGAAAGTACGTCACACTATGTAGGGCAAACATTTAGAAACCACATATCTTATTTATACCACTTTTGGTCACGTGCATCATTGTTCTCGCCAACGATTTATTCTTGCAAACAGGGTGAATTTATATGCAAATTGTAAAAAGCAACGAATTCGCAAATATGCAAAGTGTAAACGGTCACACTTTCATTCATATGCAAAGTGTAAATGCTACACTTTGTATCAAAAGTGTAGCGTTTACAATTAACATATCAATAGAAGTGTAACCGTTTACAATTTGCATATCAATCAAAGCGTTACCGTTTACAATTTGCATTACAAATTAAACAAAGTATATGCATTTAATCACACAAATCACAATGAGGGTGCAAATCGCACTAATTTAATTATACTTTCTATGAAAAAAAGTACTACAACACAATATTGACACATTTGTTTCCGTCCTGGATCTTAATT